TGTAAATAAAATGGCCCCGTCCGTGTAATATATTTTTAAACTTTTAGTTTAAAAATTATAAAAACTGAATAGCCTACAGTATTTTTACAGTCTTTATTTTACAGTTAAAATATATGTTTATCATATAAAGTCTAATGTTACAACTAATCAGGGATCCCTTTAAAGATGATCCAATTCATCCATTTATCGTGATGCAATCCATACTTTAATTGATATAATTCACCATGTGATTCAGTTTGTTTTAAATTACAATGTTTTAGAAAACACAATTTTCACAATTTCAAGAATTGAGTTAGAGAGAGGTAGGTTAAAGATTTTAGCATTATTAACACGAGTTGAATTATTGTCAGATATTTGAGTCACATTTTCTCCGTGTTTCAAACACACAGCATATATCTCTAATGTTTTGGACTGATGAGTGATTAAGTATTAAAATGGGACCAGAAATCTTAGGGCTGGGCGATGTGGCTGAAAAACATGTTTCATATCAGTGAATATAGATTATTATTGATTAATTTTAGACAGCATCAGTTTGACTCTTGTAAAAGTTAAAAATATCTGTAATGCTGCCAAAGTTTTGACRTGACCTTTCCCCTTTTCTCCACAATTTCCTCTTGAGCTGTTGCACTCATTTTCTCCTTTCACTCGACGCCATTCCTTTTTTTTTTAAGTAGTTATGAGGCACAGTGGAGAAACATGAAACTGCGACTGCACATTACTCCAGGCTTTTAACTGTTGGGGTGTCGTATTGACACCCTCTTCGATTTTTAGATGCCTCATTTAAGTGCAACAGCATCCTAAATCAATAATGAATTTCATATTAACCGTATGATGGCGGACCGGTCCAGCAAGTTAGCGCTGTGTTGCTCGAACGTGCCGATAAGAGGGAGGAAGAAACCCCAGGTTACACATTTCAAAATAAAGGGCGAGCATTTTGTTTTTATGGGCATTTGTTGTCTATTAACAGCTTGAAGATTTTGATTTGAAGGTGAATCTCACCTTTTCCAGTGTTTAGCTAAAAGATCCTAGCTTATTTTACCAGAAAGTTATCAACTGTTAGCAGCTGATAAGAAGTGAAATTATCAATATTATATCGGAGGTGTTTTCTATTGATWTTGAACAGGTGTCCATCACAATATATATCATTATTGAATTATTGCCCAGCTCTGAATAATCCTCTGTGGCTGTTTGATGCTCTGCAGGTTCGGGTTGTTGCCTCTCAGCATGTCAAACACACGGAAATCAAAGTCATCGTTGGTTGGAGTGGATCCACCTCAGACCATGGTGAGTTCAGCAGCTTTTTTAACAAGCTTTTTACCTTATTTTGACTCGTGCTGCAGTTTGGGCTAGGTAAAGTATTGTCTGTTGAACCCTTCTCTCCTCCAGCATTTCTGAGTACACTAAGACCTCCCATCCCCACCAGGCAAGTTCACCAGTGTGACTTTGTGCTTGTTCTCTGGTTGGGGTTTGGATTCACTTTTGTGCATCTGCAGAGTGGAACTGCTTGATTAATTATTTTTTTTAAATTATTAATCATTACTGCTCTTGCAAACTTGCAGAGTGTTGAGTTTGTTCCTAATAATTTCCTGCTTTCTGCTTTTGTTAGTCAGGAGGGTTTCTGATCCAGTAGAGCCACTTCAGTGCACAGCAGCTGTGAGCCAGGAGATCTGTAACTGAATGGACCATGTTATAGTGGAAGTTTGGAGTCATTTAAATTTAACCAGTCACATGTTACTTTCCTCATAAGAAAACTCTTTTTGGCTTTATCCTGAGCAACCACCAATAATCCATCAGTTTAACTGAGAACTGCTCACAGCTCCTCCTGCTTCAAGGACAAGTTTCTTCTCTATAGTGGAAAACAATATAAAGTCCAAACGACTCCATTTTGAAGTGACTTTCCATAAAACAACTAATATTTCCAAAAGGAAACTTTTCTGAAATATTGCAACTGTTCTTTGAAGCTCCACTGACTCTGGGTTGCTGTGAGTCATCTCATTCAAGTGATCAACTCTCCTTTTCTTAGACATCTTGGCTTTACATGTGCTGCTACCAAACAAAACCATGAAGACAGGTGTTCTTTTCTCAGAGAGGGCTGGACTCTTATCTAATAAAACCAACAATGTTACTAATTTCATATGTCAGTGGTCATAATGTTTAAATATGGCTCGTTTGCATTTAAAAGCTTCTGGTGTAAAGAAGTGCATGCGTCTTTACACCAGTAGCTTGTGGTGTAAAGCATGCACTTCTCCTCCAGGAAACAAAGAAGTAGCCTCCTAAAGGAATATTTAGGCTATTTTGAATAATTGTAAAGGATATGAAAAATCACTATCTTACCTGTTCTAGATAGCTCTTTAAAGAGTTTGGAAAACTTGAAGACTGACAAGGTAATGGCTAATCTGAACACATTCAAGACTGCGACTCTGTTGTCTTCAACCAGCTTCAATCTCCACAACCTTCCTCCTGGAAGAACGGTCAAAAATCCCCATAAACACACTCCTAAACCTTGTGGACAGCCTTCAGAAGAGTTGAAGCTGTTCTAGCTGCAAAGGGTGGACCAATGTCATATTGAACCCTATGGATTAGGGATGGGATGTCACTTAAGCTCATATGTGAGTCAAGGCAAGTGAGCGAATACTTTTGGCTTTTGGATTGAGAGCTCCACAATCATTGGCTGACTTTAAAAAAGGCTTGAAGACCTTTCTTTTTAATCAAGCCTATTCTGCCTCTGCATGATCTTACCACTGGTTTTAATTACTTTTAACATAGCTTGGAAGTTATTTGTTTTGTAGCAGTTTGAGATTTTTGTTAATGAAAAGTGCGTACAAATTATTATTATTATTATTATTATTATTATTATTATTATTATTATTATTATTATTATTATTATTATTATTATTACTATTATTATTATAGTGTATAAGCCAATTACAATTACAATGGGTTCTTGTGTGTGAATCCTCTCCTGGGCACGTGTGAACAGTCTTGTTATCAGTTACGTAACTCATCAGATCTATCAGAACTGAAATGTATTTTCCCAAACTGAGGTTGTTCAAAGAGCTGTCAACAATAGGTACGATATTAACAACTTTTGCACAAAAACCTGCTTCAAAATGGCCAAAATATCTTTTTATACTACCATGAGCCTGCATGTCTTATATTGTATTAAGTCTACATCTAAAAAAAGATTTTATACTAACATGGGAAGTTTTGAGCATTAAGGCAGGATTAACACACCGTCTTTTTTCTTTTGATTTTKTTTGCCAGAAGTCTGTTTTATTTTCAGTGCTGTTTAAAACCAAATCGTCAGTGTGTGAGGTGTGTCCTGTGAACTGTGGCAAGTCAGGGCTAAAAGACTTCAGATGTATACTGTACTGTCAGGACATCTGGATCCAGTGTAACCAATCATTCTTCAGCTGATCAGCTACAGCACTGTCTGGCTCTGTAGAAGCAAACTCAAAAGAAATCAGCAATGATACTATACATTTGCACAGCACTTTAAATAAACTTTGCTATCGGTATTCTCAAGGAGAACTGGAGCCAAGACTTGCCTTGAGCCTGATCCAGGATTCTCAGACATCATTCTGGTTCTTAGATAACATTTACCGATATTGTCCTGATGAATCTCAATAATTCAGGTAAAAGAAATCTTTAAAAAAATGCTGAGTAAGTCCTCAGGATGAGTTCTCCTTTGTTGAAAATGATTCATATCTTCTCCAAGAGACTTCTTCAGTCTGAGGAGTTACAGGTAAATTTAGCCTTATAAGCACTGCTTTCACATGGTGGACATACAAGTTTAACGATGACAATCAAAAATGTTTGTTCTCATATAAAAGAGAAACATCAGCCTAATGTTTGTTAGTGCTCTGGTTTAGGGCTGCACCGATTAATCGACAACTAATCGATTATTAAAATAATCGATGACTAATTTAATAATCGATTAATCGTTTTCATTTTTTGTTCTTTACTTTGTTTTGCTTACCAAACTGCTTTGACACCTTCCACTGCCACATCTGCCTTTCTGTCCTTGACACACATGCACAGTAGTGGTAACTGGGGTAGGCCGTGGAC